CTCAGTCAGTATTAATCCAGGTGATTCCTGTGTGTCTGTCTGTACAGAGCAGCAGTGCTGTCCACAGGGATGGAAGGAGGGAGACTGTGGTAGATGTTACTACGTCTCTACTGAGCGAAGATCCTGGGAGTCTGCACATCAGTTCTGCTCGTCAGTGGAAGCTCATCTGGTAGAAATTGAAAACAAGAGAGAACTGGTAAGATCCTACACTGCAGCATCACTGCTGTCCTGACAAAGAGGGAAGGGGCAGAAGGACACAGAGAGTCCCACGAGATTCAGCGGGAAAGGGAAGGGCGCAAAACAAGCACATGTCTGGAATCAGTGATGCAGGACCTGCACTGTGTGTCTCTCCAGAGGGTTCTCAATGGTCTAGTGCAAACCTACGACTATTGGACTGGCCTGAGCAGGAAGGACAGGGGAGGAGCGTGGAGCTGGGTCACAGGTGGAGCCCTGAACACAGCACTGTAAGTGAGCCCAAGCTAGAGTGTCATTACAACCTTATTTTTGCCATTATCATTGTTCAGCGGCTTGGTGAAGAGGTGACAGCTCATTGGTGAGCTTTATTGGGGACGTTTCCTTGACATCCATCTGCCAGAACCCCAGGACACCCCCAATTCTAAATGGTGCCTGGATGAAGATAGGGTGGAGGGAGGGAGGGATAGGGTGGAGGGACAGTGTGCAAGCGTGTCTGCAAGAAGCAGGATATTTCTGTGCAGAGAAGAGGAAACGGGAGGGGTTAGGGCTTGACCTCCTGCTGAAGGCTTAAAACTCGTGTCTCATCACAGGCACTCCCCAGGTTGCACAACAAATTCAACTTTAATTAAATGCCCCACACGTAACTTCATTTGTTCAGAGTCTGGAAATGTGCAGTATATGGATATGTATCTCTGACTGCCCACCACTGCATAGCCCTGTTTTTAGCAAATTGTTTATCTAGTTCCACACTGCACATCACACACACACATGCACGCCCCACAGAGCCAAGGTCAATCATAGATGAAGTCTATTCCAGCAAGCAATGGGCACAAGGGAGGTTCCATCCCGGACAGGAAGCCAGTCCATCACAGGGTAGACACATACAAAGACACACACTGTAACGAACAGTTCTTTCCGGACCCTATGCGGACGACACAATCCGAAGAAGGGGGGAAACACTGGGAAAACGTCATGCAGGAATACGGGGCTGAA